AGAACTTGTGACACGCCTACCAGACTGCTGATGCACGATGTTGCAGATTTTGGACTTGGAGTTCTGGAAAGAACAATCTTCATCTGTTTTGTAATCCCATACGTTTCCAGCAACAACTTGGGGGAACTGAGGGAGAAAAGTTTACATCCGACTCATTTTCTACGCCACTTTTTAAGATCTGAACACAGACAGAAATGCCATGTTTTTATTTCAAAGCTCTTATTTTTTTATGAAATATCCAAATCCTGGTTCAAAACGGATCAGAACCAGAACTTTCTTGGTTGTCACCAAGATGTCAGCCACTCTTTAGTTTAATATTTCACACATATAAGACGTAGATGTTTCATAGTCGGAGGTAATTTGGCATATAAAACAGATGATTTGTTTGGAAAACAGCAGGTAAAATTTTGCCAAAAGTGAAATAAATCAAAAGTTTCATATAAAAAAAAAAAAAGAGAGAATAAATTTTTGGCAAAGAATGACTTTGGCCTTTTTTTAAGGTGATGATATGAAGTAAAACAGTCGATACATCATTATTAGATTTTTGCTTTTTAAAAAGTGAGAATGGGGGGAGAGGTTGGGAAAAAAAATATATTTAAGATAACATTTCTTTTCTCAATATGAACAATTTCACAAATTAAATCTTAAACTTTTAAATATTGTTGAGGAAGCATTGAATATTGAAACTTCACAGGTTTAAAACTCTTCTATTGCCAAGAGTAAAACACATTTTTATAAGAACTGACATGTAAAAACCTTTTTATTGGTCTTATAAATAGTTCTGGCCCCCTACCTGGAAGGACTGGGACTTTTTTCCTCCTCTTCCACGACGTCCATCCAGTCTGTTGGATCAAACTTCGTCCTCTGCTTAGTTCTGTCTTGGTTCTCCTCCACATCCATTTGCTGCACAGAACAAAAACAAAAATAAACCCTTAATATCTTACATTAATTTGTTTTATTTTCTGCTGTGCTATACATCAATCAGGGCTGCAGCTAACAGATAATAAAAAAGGCACATTCTGCAGATTTTATTTCACTGCTTGAGCTTTTTTACACAATATTAGAAATGCATTAAAAGATGCAAATAAGAAAAAATGTTTGATTCCTTATATAGGTAAGACAACAATATCATTGGCTAAAATGCAACAACATGGCATCCTTTTAAAGAAAACTTGACAATTTGCTGCTAAAATATACTTCTAAACATGCAGAAAACTCAACATAAACCTGATCTGTTGAGTTTATTAACTGATTAATAATTGGGTAGCAACAGGTGCAAAGTGGCAGATTTTCTTTTTTTTTTTTAACAATAATTTAACTGGGTGAAGTTCAAACTTGAGAACAACATATTTACAGACAAAGATTTTCATCTTGAAAATGTGCATAGAGGTTTTTTTTGTACTATTCTGGCTTAATTACTGAAATTAATGTTTTTCTTTCAGTAAATTGTCATTTGAGGTTGTATACTAAAGTTAGCGATCAATTGATGACTAAATGAATTGACATTTCAATGATCAATTAATCATTTTCTGCACCTCTACTAAAGTCTTAAATAACAATCTTAATTAGTGGTTTAATCACATCCAGAAAAAACAAAAAACAAAAAAAAAACACTAAACCACACATTAGTCTCGTTTATTGTAATTTTAAAAAGCCTGGTAAAGCCACCAATACTACTATTACTATTACTAATAGTAATAATAGTACAAACAGGACAGCAGGTGTGAAGCGTCATCTCCAGAAATGATGCACAAACCTTTTCTGGTTCTTGCTGTTGTTGGACAACCTTTTCATCCTTCTGCACTGGCGTCTCCTTGTTCTGCTGCGGTTCAGGGCGGCTCTGAGTTTTGACTGGAGCGGGCCTGGTCGATGACCTTGGAGCCGACCTTTTGTACATGGACGTCAGCTTCTTTCCTGTACCAAAGAAAGCGGCTCCGACGAAGATCTTCGGCTTCGGTTTCAGGCTCCCAAAAGAAATGGTGATCGCCTTTTTCGCTTCAGCCGGTTTGTTTGGAGGTACGCTGCTGCTGCTGGATGTTGGATTAGCTGCCGCACTGCTAAATAAAACAAGTTAAAATAGCTGCTTTGAGAACATTTTCAAATAATATTATACAAGAACAGATTCTCAAAGATCAATACACTTTAAATTCTAATAAACTTTTTACACTGGAACTGGAAGAAATTTTAAATATTCAAAATGAATAAAACAGAAACAACTAATAAAACTCTTCTATAAATAAATATAAATAAAACTCTCCTTCAAAAAAGGAGGGAAAGTTGAGACAAAGCAGCAAACTGAAGACTTTTATTATCCAGATTTCCAAAAGAGAGAAAATGGATAAATTATGAAAATGGAAATTATTGAGCTCGTTTTAATTTGTTATGCGATTCACTGATTTAAAAATCAGAAACAAACCTTGTGTTGCATCTGGTCAGTTGAATCGTTTTTACAGGTGATTGAGAACTTCTGGTTTCCTTTTTCGCTCTCTTATTAGATCCTACTGATGATTTTCTGGGTTTGGTGCTTCTTTTTGCAGCTTTCTTTGTTTTCTTGTCTGTTTTTTTGGCAGATTGAGGAGGAGAAGGCAAAGCAGACAGACGGGAAGGAAGAGATTCCTTCACTGCCTTCCTCTCAAGTGGGGTGAGATAAATGGTCTTCTGCTTGCCGTAGAAGGAACTCGTCACCACCGAAGTCATCGCTGGGGAATTACGAGACGATCTGCGCAGAGAACCTACTGAAAGGAGTCAATAAAGGTTTGTTGATTCCAGTAAGCAAAACCTTGAGGGCAAAAAAGAAATGCGTCAGGTGTGTCGTACCTGCTGGCTTATGTGACAACTCCTGTCTGCCATCCTGCGACCCGGTTGGCGAAAGCAGCCGCTCTCTTGGAGATCTCCTCTTCACCGGAGACATTTTCTCCTTCATGCCCTTCTTGGTCGGGTGGCTGATGCTTAAATAAAATGCCAGATTAGAAGAAACAAAAGTCAAAACACTCAACATGAAACTGAAAATAACATTTTTCAGAGTCCGCACATTTAAAAACATCCAAAACCCAAGCATTTTCAAGGCAAGTTCTCAAACTTGAGATAAAAACATTACAAAGTAACTCCTGAAGACAGTTTCAGTTCATTATTATATTATTTATTACTCTATTAATAATGTCATGCAGTAGCATTCTACAGCAAAGACAAGGTAAACAAAAACATTTTATGTTTTAAAAATTCTCACACAAACCTCAAACAATTAAATGTTTAAACAAAGTATAGAAAGAAAGTCACAAAAACAATCTGTAAAAAATTTTCTTGCTAACTTCAGAAATAATTTTGATAATTCTAATTGACCTGAAACAAGAAATGTTTAGTCTGATTTAACTTCAGACAGCGATTCAAAAATATGTTTGTCTTTTTATTAGGTGGATGAAAACATCAAGTCTAAACTGCAAATAATTTAGGCTACTATTAAGCATTTGATTGCACTTTGTTACAAAACTGTGAAGTTTCAAGGACGTGATACAGAAATTAAACACTTTCTAAACTTTGAAAACACCTAATTGAAATTTTACAGGGTTTTCAGAACCCACAAACTCTATTTTGATAACAATTTAAATGATAATCATGAGGTGTGTACATCTTACCTGTCAGAGTCCATGGAGGACAGCTTGCGCTTCCTGGTTGAGGTTGTTATCATGTTCAAAGTTTACCTGCACATAACGACAGGAGATTAAGCCTTTTACAAGAATAATCCTCTCCACAAACAAAAATCTACTCAGCTTAAGTCATATTTTGTTTTACAAAATAACAAACAGGAATAATTGTGTCAGAGATAGGTTGAACAAACATCCCCTTAATTATAAACAGGATCGAATAAAGAAAAGCAGCTTTAAATTCCTCTTCCTGCATATTAAGCTAAATTAGCTTATTATTAGCTTGAGGCTGATTTAGCAGCAGACGACGAAAGTAAACGCGTGTTTGGCGGGATGATGAGCTTATGAAACAATAAATCAGTCTGCAGCGATGGTCATTCTTTTACAGCCAAATATAACCGTCTGTCTTCGTATTTTCAGCAGCAGAAATCATATTTTGGCATTAAAAGCATGCTAGCTATTAATTTTGATCATTACACATGCGATTTTAAAGACAAAATCAAACCTACAAACAATTACAGTTCACACAAGACAAAACGCTCAGTCCGTCTTACCGAACAAGCCTCTTCTAGCCTACATAAAATGATAAATGTCGAAATTTAGGCAGCGAAAAAATAAGAAAATCTACAAAACTGACGCTTCAGCTGCTCCGTTCCCGCGCGCTTCTCCCTATGTGATTTTGAATACCGCGCGCCAGCCTAAAAATAGTTGCACGGGGAACCGGAAACACTACGTCACCGAAAACTTGTAGAGTGACCTTCAAAATAAGGATTTTTCAGCTGAAATCAGAATATAAAACAAAATCCTGAGCAAATCCTCAGCAGTATCAATATTTTTTTTCTATGATTCTGATCAGATTAATTTAATAAATAACAAATAATAAGAAATAATAAATAGCTGACAAAAAACAATTTAACTCAAAGGATTGAATAGGCTGGCAAAGCTAAAAATAATGAACCAAATTTATTTATAAATCACATAACAAAGTAAATGGTTGTATAAAGTACATTAAGCGAAAAAGTAAAAGCACTTATTAGGAAAGGAAAGTAATCCTAGACCATGCTAAAAGCTTTTTACATAAATATAAACTGTTAGCTTGTCGCTGATAGCTGTTTCTACAAATCTTCTTCTCACTTTGACTCGATTAAAAAGTAATTGTTTTATGTCAAATTAGTAGGAAAAACGTACCTAAGAATACAGTGAAACGCCCTGAGCTTTTGTTCTCAATATTTCTAAATACAAAGAGAAATCCAGGATGTCCCAAGATTTCAGTTTTTATTGAAAACACTTTATTTTGAAAGAGTAAACCGTGCTTGTTTCCTGGCTTTGCATCGCAACCTTACGCCAACCACTAACAACTTCCGGGTCAGTCCGTCCATGAGTAAAGTGACACTAGCAACGAACAGTGAAATCACAAGTTTTTTCCTTTATTTATACTTAATTCACCAAATAAGTTTTATTAATATATTATCTGTGTGTTTAATTCGGAGAAAATGGTGTTTTACTTCACAAGTGCTGGTGAGTTCAGCTTCGTCATCATTAGCACTGTTAGTTTGTAGCTCGATTAGCTTCATACATCAGTAATTCATTACATTAATGAAAATCATTAAATAACCAAACAAACCTTATGCGTTTGTTTGGTTATTTCTATTTCACTCAGTCGGCTGTCATATTTTTTGTTGTATTTTTTCATATAGTGGTGGATCCTCCATTCACGATCTACATGGGAAAAGATAAATATGAAAGTAAGCTTGATTTCTCGCAGCTTTATGCTTAAATTGCTTATTTTACCTTTAACTTGAGGCGTTTCTTTCTGCAGATGAGGATCTGATTAAATATGGCTGGCCTGAAGACATCTGGTAAGTCTTTAATATTTGTTTCCTATTCAGGTTAGTCTCTTAAAATCAGTTTTTTCCCAAAGAGAAATTATTACTTTTTTGTAACTCATAGTAAAATACAGTTAAGAATCTGAAGCACCACTTTAAAATTAATGTTGACAGATTGCCTTCTGCAAAATTGTTAAAATAAATACATGTAATAAAACACTTTTTTTTTTACATTTTTGTAAGTCACTGCAAATGAAAAATAAATGTAAATGACCAGATAATGAATAAAGAAAACTTAAATTTGACTTTTGCCAGGAAAAATCTTCTTTTTGTGGTAATAAAAAAGGAAATGAGGGATTCAAATAATGTTGCCTTAATCCATCTTTGAACAGAAAGCAAGAAATAAAATTCTATGTTTTTTGAGCTTTATTTAAAGTAAATGGAATAAAAAAGTCAAACCACTGATAACATTTTTGTATTAAATGATTTATATTCAGTTTTTTATGTTATCCATTATCTTTTATGCTTTAATCTGTAAAAATATTTCACAATAACTTTTCTTTTTCCCTCCCAAATGCAGGTTTCACGTTGACAAACTCTCTTCAGCTCATGTTTATCTAAGAATGCCAAAGGTAAAGAGTCACCTGACAAAACTTTCAACCAATTTAACCTAATTTTCCTCATTAAAGTGTTGTTTTTGCGTCTTGTCTCATTTCTAGGGTAAAACCATAGATGATATTCCTCCAGAGGTGCTGGTAGACTGCGCACAGCTGGTGAAGAACAACAGCATCCAGGGTAATACTGCAGTTTTACAGTAAATGCATTGTCTGTGTCTGACATATGAAGGATGATCGTGTTTATCACCTTCAGGCTGTAAGATGAACAACATCAACGTGGTTTACACGGCGTGGGCCAACCTGAAGAAAACAGGAGACATGGATGTTGGGCAAATTGGCTTTCACAAACAGAGAGAGGCCAGTTGTCTAAATATTTCTTTGAAAGTCGAAGTTAAAGTCTGTCTGTACTTTCTGTTACTAACAGCTTGATGTTTCTCGCAGGTGAAGATTGTTGCTGTAGAGAAGAAGATCAATGAAATCGTAAACCGTCTGGAGAAGACAAAAGAAGAGCGCTTCCCGGATCTGGCAGCAGAGAAGGAAGCGAGGGATCAAGGGGAGAGAAATGAGAAGAAAGCTCAACTCCAGGAGCAGAAAAGGAGGGAGAAAGAAGAGCAGAAGAAGAAAAAAGAAATGGAAGAGCTCAGGTGGGACAAAGTTGTTTTTTTTTTTGTTGTTATATCCTATAAATAGAGTGCATAAATGTGATTTTGAAGGAACACAGAAAAAAAAAATTATTTTGCAAGTATTTTTAATGTAGTTTCTAATGCAAATACCCTTCTACACTTAAAATAAGATGAAACTAAGTAAGTTCTCATAGAAACTTGTTTTAAGTCAATAATTCCTTAATACAGATGAAAAAGAACTAGTCATATTAGCAGATTATTTCACTTATAACATGAAAAAATATCGTGTCATAAGGGAAATAGTCCCATTTGTATTAAGGAATAATTGACCTAAAACAAGCTCCTATTGCTGAAAAGTTACTTGACAGCTAGTTTTGTTTTATTTCAGGTTTACTAAGATATTTGCCGTAGAAATTAGAACAAAATTGCTTCGTAAGATTTTGTGTCTTAACAGTGAAATAAGGGTTTTAAATGTTTTTTTACAGACAAATATTTGAAGTTTTCTTTGGATTTTCATTCCACTCCAAATAAAATCCACTGTTTAATCTAAAGTTGCAGCTAATGATTATTTCAATAATCAATTAATCTGATTAATCATTATAAATTAAACTTTTCTTTTTATTTCCAGGAATTATACATCACTGATGAAGAGTGAAAACATGAAAACTAATGAGGTAAGAAATGAAAATGTCACAAATTCTCTGCAATAATAAACTTCTGCTGTAAAGCAGTAGATATTCCCGTTAGAAAAACAATTTTATGCCTACAGAATATGTATTTTTTACTTCTCTGCAGGATGGCTATGACTCGGACGACTTCATGTGACGCCTGAAAATACAACAGGAAGCTCGGGAAGCTCCCCTGCTGCCATCGCTTTACAGACTTTGAATGAACAAAAATAAAAAAATAAACAAGTCCATTCTGCTTGAGAGCACTTGGAGCAGAAATGACTCAGTTCTCACGACTCAGGAGCCATTTTCAGACTTAAAGGAAGACGGGAGTCGTCTGTGGTGAAGGATACCCAGTCAGCAGATTCAGTTTTTACAGCTATACTAATGATGGCGTCTTTTGTTTCAGTCACTCACTTCTACAGCATTTTGTTGAAGCTGCTCTTGCTTCCTTGCTCAATATGCCAATTTTGTCTGCATGTCAGATTTTAATAAACAGAATTCCTTGTATAAATTGAAACGCTATTGCTTGGTAATTTCATTGTAGAGTAATCTGTCAGTCGAAAAATTAATTCTGAAGTAAAAGATTTACTGTTGGACTAATTTATCTCTCCAAATGAAATAACCCGTATAGGCGGACAAAAAAATCCATCCATTTATTGATTAAAAACATATTGGTGTAATCATGTTACAACACAAAGTGCATTTTGTATTTTTCTTTCTTTTTGCGGGGGTAGACAAGATCAAATATGAAAAATGCACGCAACGTCAACTAGATAAACCTGGAATCTGTCACACACTCAACTATTGCAAAGAAAAATAAAATATTTCTAGAAAAAACGATCCAAGCTCTTCGTCGTCAACGGAGTTTAAAGGTCCAGGAGGTGGACGGTGATTGGTCAAAAGTAAGCCACCAGCACGCCATATGATTGGACCACCTGGAAATGAAGCGCACATCAATTGGCTAGTTGGGGCTTACTTTGGGTTTATTTTGCTGAAACAGGCAGTGACGGAGCAATGCATCATGGGGGATTAGCTCAAATGGTAGAGCGCTCGCTTAGCATGCGAGAGGTAGCGGGATCGATGCCCGCATCCTCCAATTTTTCTTCACAAGAGCTGTTTTTTTTTCTAACCGATCTTCCGATAAATGCCCCTTACCTGTAATCCAACAATGCACAACAAAATATGAAAGGTAATACGAGTGAAAGACAGAAGACGATACGAGCTTCGATTCCTTCGACTACCTCTTTGGGAGGTAAGGAGACTAGACCAGGGATTATGTGGTAATGTTTTGTTTTTGCAGTGAAATGACAAAAATGTTTGCTGCTCAAATGTTTAATTTGAAAACGGCCAATCGGTGCGCGATCCATGTTCAGGCGAGCCAAACACATCCCGAGCTGGTGGGCTTACTTTGGCTTACTTTTGACTAATTACCTTCCACCATCTTATTTCCTTCTCTTAAATATGCCAGTATTATAACTTTCACTCGTATTACTGTTAATATATTATTGTGCATTGTTTAATTACAGGTAAAGCGCATCATTTTAGTTGAATGCACTGCGGTTTTTCCGTCATGAAGCGTTTATTGCCACGGATTTCATGCGGATTTGAAGGAATTACTGGCGAGTGTAGAGAAGTGCCGCTATTTTGACTAATTTTAATAAATGAAAAGTGCAAAAAATTAGTCATTGAGTATTTAGCACCGACAAATGTCGTTATGTTCTCCCTACCAATGTGTGAATGTGATTGATTGTAGGTTCCACAGCAAAACTACACAACTAGCTTGGGAGTATTTTTTTAACAGTTTCGGATGAAAAAAGTCAACGAACATCAATGAAAATGCAGGTAAACGGAAAAGTAAAGACAAAAACAAAAAACGAAAAGCTGGAGGATGCGGGCATCGATCCCGCTACCTCTCGCATGCTAAGCGAGCGCTCTACCATTTGAGCTAATCCCCCATGATGCATTGCGATCACACTGATGTCATTTTTTTCGGTCAGTGACTCCCATCATGCTTCAGAATGTGTTTTGTTGTGCTGCTTTTAATTGCCCTGGGCTGGAGTGAGATGCTACTCTTCACATGAACTTTGACCCATTTGGGACTTTATGACTAGTCTTCGCAGGGTCAACCCCAAAAGCTAACATAAGTGCACTTACATGCTTAAACTGTCATAAGTTTGTACTACTATATACATGTATAATATCACTTCTACACTATACTATCAACTTCATAAAACCTGGTACATATTATAAACAATATGTTTCAGTGAAAACAATGAAGAGATTGGTCAGTTGATGCCGCAACATAGATTTGATTACAGATCTGCAACACAAAATAGCTCAGTTTACAGGTACAGTTCAGAACTCAGTTTCTCTTTGTCATTGGTGGAGCGATACTGACCCCTACTGGCGAATTACGGACATAGTTGCCAAACAGTGACAAGGGATCAATAACACACTCTATATTCTTTTAACTAAAATTAACTAATCTTTGGGCTCTAGCTCCATAGACTATTTTTAAACCTGGCCACTTTTGACTGATTACTGTTATGTATATTTGGCACATATGGCTATTTATTGATGCATTTATTACATTTTCAACGGTGTGGTTCACTTTCACACTGCACTGTGTCAGCTGAATTAAGTTTTGGCACATCCACATTGTTTAGTTTTTAGCTTCTGTTCGATGCCTAAATAATTCAACGTTGATGAAACGGATCAGGTATGTCCCAATGGGAGACGTAAGAAATCGCTGATTGCTCTGCGGCTCGTTTTTACTTTGAATCGGAAGTTATTCTGGCTTTAACGTGTTTTTAAAAAACATGAACGTTCTTGGTGATATAAAAACGCTTTCGTTAATGTTGTTGTGCTTTCGTCCATGTTATAGAGCAGCTAGGAGTTACGCTGTCGGGGCTTCATGCCCCGACAGCATAACTCCTAGGATCACTGGGACACTCAAACCCCCCACCACCATAAGGTGGCAGCCATGGAGGGGACGTGTAAATGTGTGCATGTGTGTATAACCTGTTAACTATGAAGGAAAGAGAGAAAGTGAGAGACAATGGAAGAAAGTTGTTAACATGAGGAAACGAGCACAATGTGGAGGTAATTATATTCTGACTTTTGGTCCATTTGTTTAGTTTTTAAAAACTTTTTAGGCTCCAATAAAGTGTTTTAGGTTCTAGTAGCCGTTATTTTTGCAGTTGTTGAACAGGAAATTGGGAGGAGAAAGGAAGGAATGACATGCAGCAGATTCCCCAGGACTAGGAATTAAACCCAGGTTGACAAACAAAACCGATAAGTAACGTCCTAAACAAAACATAATTTGCAGTCTGACTATAAAGCTGGTTAAAAAACTGATTTAGGCATTTCTCAGCCCCTTTTTCTTCTCTTTTATACAAGCAGACAGCAATAAGCTCAACAACACAAAAGCTTCATATTTATTACAAAGTATTTATCTAAGAATTGATTTCTTCCTGTAATGGAAATGATTTCTGATTAAGTTCTCTGTTTTCATACTTTCATGGATTGTTCTTGTTTTTTTCCTTTTCTACAGTTTTCATGTTGAATTACACTTTTTTTTGTTCAGTTTATCTTGAATTTGTTATTGTAAATAAAGACAAAGAGAAAGATCACACAGTAACTTTTATCTTTGATAAAACTTGTTTTATCAAAGATAAAACAACTCTAGGCTTCTTCACGGTCCAGATTATTAAATTATGATTACAATTATCATCTAATTCCATGTACAGATTTAACTCTAATCTTAATTTAACTCAGTGCTTCTCAATTATTTTCCGTTACGCCCCCCTAGCAAGAAGAAAACTATTCGCGCCCCTCACTCCCCACCGTGACTACCCATCTCTGCATAACATTTTTTCCTTATTAACATTTTTTTCGCTGAAAAAACTCTAGCGGCTTATTGGCGTGATTGGGATGTAACGTATTTAAGTGACGCGCTAATTTATTTGGCTTCATGCTGTCCGCTGCGAGCATTTTTAGACACAGCAAACACAGCGGTCTTTCCTCTTCTCCAACTGTAGTCACAGTGAAGCCAAGCGCTAAATACGCTTCGTCGTATTTCCTCTTCTTAGCTTTCGGTTGACTTTCTGTTGTCTCATTATCTTTGTCTCTCTCCGCTTTTCTTTTCATCCCTGTGAAAAACTTTTTCATGTTGGGGGTTGTTGAATAACGGAGGCCATAGACAGAACGCAGTCGGAGCTTTTTGTTGACTTAACACTGCTAACCAAGGCAAACCTGTTGTCTTGTAAGTCGTAAAATGTTGCACTGTCGCAAACGTGACAGAAGTAACAATGAGAGCGCCACTGCCGCCTACTGTGCGCAATTACACTTTATACTTTATACCAAAAAAAAGCCTGTTCCCCAGGTATCGCACCGCGCCCCCCAAAGGGGGCCCGCCCCACTATTTGAGAAGCACTGATTTAACTGGAACCTGAAAAAGTCCAAACGTGTTAAATCACGTTTTTTATGTTTGGTATGAAAACTAGTGATGGTGAGATGAAGCCTCATGAGGCATTGAACCACTTGATCCAACTGGTTCAGAAAGGGTTCATTTCTAGAAGCTTCATGTGCTCACGAAACCACCTACTGGCCAGGTGTATAATCACAGCCAGCTGTATCTCAACACGTGTGATGCATTGAATTTTTGTCTATTATTTCTCTTGGGAATGACGTCACAAAAGGTGTAGGACAAAATCATTTGTCTACATAAATTATGTACATACATATGTGTACAATAAAATATTGTTTGAATGTATTCTCTCTGTGTAATTTTTCTCCAAATAGTCGTGTCATGTGATATGGCATGTTGTGTAATAATGTTTATCTGTGAAAAATGGCTTCATCAGGCAGAGGACAGTGAAAGTGCTTGTGGAACAAGGGAGGGGGCAGTAAAGAGGCTAATGCTTGTGTAACTTGGATGATTTCATGCATTTTTATTAAGAAACAATTTCTCCACAGTTTTGGTTTCAAATGATTCCTCGTTTTTGACACTACTTCTCCAGCCTTTGAAAAGACACACTCCTAAATCTCCGATCTCTCTCTCTCTCCTAAACTCTCCAAACTCCAAACTAACTGTCTCAGACTAAATAGCCACAATCCAAACTCTGCTATCCAAACTATCAAACCTCTATCCACTCTCTCAACTGACCGCTGGAAAATGGAGGGAAAATGCCAATTAATTTTACAAGTTTAACAATAAAACTGAACATTGTTGGAGTTTATAAACTGTTTTGGGGACGATTTGCAGCGACCAACTGACCTGACCTGCATGTTTTAGGGGATGTGGGGGGAACCGGAGCGCCCGGGGAAAACCCACGCAAACACGGGGAGACCATGCAAACTCCACACAGATGGTCTCTGTGAAGACGCAGCGCTAACCGCTGCGCCACCGTGCTGCCCACCATTTTTCTGTTGGGTTGGGAGGATCTATTTTGTCAATCGGGGGAAAAACTGTCTTTTTAAAGACAAAGTCCTGTCTTTAAAACTTTGTTTTGAAATTTAAAGTTTTAAAACTTTAAAACTATAAAGTTTTAGAACTTTTAAAACTTTAAAACTATAAAGTTTTAGAACTTTTAAAACTTTAAAACTATAAAGTTTTAAAACCATAAAATTTTAAAACTTTAAAACTATAAAGTTTTTGATAAATACCAAATGAATCTCTTATCCTTCTCACTGTTTGTTTTTCTTTGACTTAAAACCAAGAAATTTTTTTATTCTTTTCCAGATAGTTTTTTTCGGTTTCTTTTTACCGTCTATATCCTGAAGATCACTTTCTTCTTGAGTCACGATTTCCTCAATGGTGTCAGAGTCCTTAGA